GACTTTTAAATGAATGGTACAAAAGAGATTTAAACTGGAGATTTGTGCTTGATGGGCATTATCAAAAATTCTCTTAAAACTTTAACTTACTTGTTCAAATGTTTCTGGAGAGAATGGAAGAATCTATCGCTTAACGGGCCTCCGTATATATGTAGGAAACTAGGCATATTATAGATAAAAGAGGAAAAAGAAAAAATACCGTTGAATCGCAGAATTCGGCTACTCATAAAGAGTAGCAGTTGTGTGATTCACCCGCTATTTAAAAAAACAATATTGTTCCTCGTTGAATTAAATTTACCGTTTTCACAATAAGTTCCTCATCAAAACCATTGTTCCCACTTCATTTGAATTTGTTTCGCCTAAAGTGATATTGTACTTGTATGGAATTGGTTTTGGTTTTGTGTATTTATTGCATAAAAATATACTTGGTCGACTACGACTTGATTTATCGACATTTTTTACATATCCGTTTTGTGTTGCCATTTTGAGTTAACTATTCATGTGGTGGGCTTTGCTCACAAATGTGGACGGCCATATTGCTTATCTTCTGTAGAAGAAAGAGTGCGATGTGATGAGTGTAGGAAGTGGTTCCATAAGATGTGCAGACGTTTAAATCCTACTGCTTATAAAAGGTTTCGAGGCCTAACTCTCATTGGCCCTGCATGTTTTATGTTCAACCTAAACATTACTCATCCGGGAGGCAATTAGCCTTCTGGTGTTGACTAACAAGAAATTTGATGAGGAATGTATCAGTAACATGGTCATTGATGGCGAAGAATGTGTCAGTTCTGTTACTGTGTGGAGGCCCGTTATTTAACCGTCATTTAGATCGAACGATGTTATCGAAAGGGCTCTTCACTTCAGTTGTCGGAGATCTAACTCCAAGGAGATCGTAATGATGATTGCTGCTGAAATATATATGCCGCCTATCATGATTTGTAATCATATACTTTAATCGCGTTGGTCAATAACGGAATTAAATAAGTCAAATAACGAGAATGGACATTTGAATACACATATTTTGTATATAAAGTGAATGGAATAGAACGAAGCAAAATGACGCGCAGTGGAGATGGAGGACAAGCCAACTCCCTTTTAGTGAAGCGTTAACCAATATTTATAGGCACACAAAAATAAGCTACAGACATGTGATGAGTAATAGGATAATAAGTGTACACACACCTACGCGCTCCTATAAAGCAGCTAAGATTGACAAGCGAATAAATAACAAGGTCAGAATGTAACTCGAGTAGAATGAATAGATTGAGCTATCCGAAAGCTGGAATAAGATATATGGGCTTAGCATAGTAACAGACACCACAACGGTACGTGCCAGGTACCCACACAGTAGGGAGTTCTATCGCTAAACAGTTATTGAGCAAAACATCATTAGATACTAGTGACCAAGTCACACAGCGGCGACTGATGTCCAAGACAAAACTGTTATCATCTCTATTAGTTCTAGTGAGCATGCTGCAACCAGTGGAAAATAGATAACGCGAAGAAGAAAAGATGGCCAAAAACAACCCCTGTTTAGCTGCAAAGCCCTTATTGGACTAACGTACTGCATTGCATATTACTCATCAAAAGTTACAAAGAATGAAAATATGTAACCCTATCGTAGATGGGAAAAGTTTGGACTCTTAAAACATTGTCGTGAGTCGGTCACTCGACTCCCACAACTTTTTGTAGTGCAAAATGCAATATTCGGGTTCTAATCACTTAAAATTTAGATGACGGCTTTTGTCTATTTTAGGACATAGGTCCAGATATAATCCTAGTTAATCAGTCGATTTGATATCGACTGGGAGTAAGATGTTGGACGGAGAAGGAAAAGCGTGTCCACTAATAGTACCACTCTCGATAAGTAAAAACGTAGCCAGAAATAGGTAGTGGATAATACGAGCAAGGAAGTAGATATTAGATAGAATAAGAATATGCACAGACAAAAGTAAACGGCAAGTATAGAGCTAAAAAGCCTGTAAATAGAAGAGGTACATGTAGTAGAGGAAAAAGTTTGAAAATGAAATTTACTCAGTAGTTAAATGTCATCTGAAAGGTTGAAGTATATTCAAATTGTTGAATAAGCCTGCAAACGGACTACAGTTTATATACTGGTACGACTTCATGAAGAATCAGTATAAAGATAGTATTTTCCTTAACTTAGAACGTTTTACTTACATTTGGAGCTGTTTTTCATTGACTCGGGACGACTCGTTTTGATGGAAAATGGTTGCGGGTCAATTATTGACACTTTTTATTAACGTTGTTTGAATAGCACTATGTTTTGTTAAATGCGGAACATGTTTACCAGTCTTCAAATGTGTGTGGTGGTCGTAATTACGCATTACCTTAGGTATGTTTGGGTTTCATGATGATAACTAGTGTTCGGTTATTCTGACTTAAGTCGACCGTTCTGGTTGCACTTGGTTACTTGTGTACCATCTTGTCATAGTTACTCTGATTTTCCTTATAGTGCCTTGTTGTCTTTCAGATGTGTCAGGACAATCGGGAATGGCCTACCTACCTAACGTTTTTGCTTGTCAAGTAACAGATCTGAGGAACTATACGCATTACTGAGACCTTTCGATGAGGATTCGGTAAGTTTAAAATGATGATCGTGACTTGGTTAGCCTACTTCAGGTTCCGTTCTGGTTATCTTGAAGTGTTTGTGTTCCTTTTGGTCATAGTTACTCTGATTATTGACTAAGTGTTTTCTTTTTTTCAGAAATACAAAACTGGATGATTGCTTGCTTTGGTAAGTCATCACAGTGATTATATCGAGGAGCGGCTGAGGCTCGTCTAATATAAGTATTCACGTTAATTTGCCTATGAATGTCATGGTATGAGTGATTAATTCGTGTCTTTTGTCTTTAGGTATTTGATGGCTAATAATGAAGGTGAACAGAAGACTACAGATGCTTGTACGTGTAGTTAAGGTTTTCTTACATGGCTTCCAGATATATTCACAAAATAAAATTTCATTACTTGACTTTTGTTTTATGGTATTCGGTTGGTGCTTTTAGTACCCTGGCAGTGCTGCAATTTTCGTATTACGGAATCGAACGGGAATAAACCTAGCAAATTAAGCCTTGATATGTGCGAAGTTTGTGCATAAAGCGTCGGTGGTGCGTAACGGCAGCATCAGTAGCATTGACTTGGCAATACTTGTGAGTGCGGCAGTGTATTCGTTCCACTGTTGTTAGGAAGCTTGAGATGGATTCTTAGGAAGTTGGGAGCTTTTGCGTATAAGCTAGCTAGTGGAGGTGCGCGGAGTCTTTCGAAGTTGCGACGATGACATGGTATGTAATTTTCTGTTCTTCAACCTAGACGCTACAAGTCATGCAATTTTACTCTAACAACCTGTTAAAATTCTAGTTTTCGGCAACACGATATCGACTTGTGGCTTGAGACCATAAATTCATTTCAGTTTGGGGAGGGCAGGAGGCTTAATGGCCTATGTTAGACGGATGAAGCTTCAACTACGTGCTGAATTAGTGAATTCTACTCGTTGACGATTCGATGGAATAGTCGATAGTCAGCTGACAAGTAATTTGTTCTCGGCTTGTGAATTTTTTTGGAGTGTCCTCGTAAATTCTGTTTTGAAAGACAAGGAAAATGAGGGCGTATCAGGTGCAATTTGTAGACTGTAATCAAGTCGCCTCTAGTTTTGCGATATGACAACGGGAAAAGGTTCAGCTTGGTCGGTCGAACTTCATACGGAAGCTTCGCTATTCCGGGAATCAGCTTAGTCGCCGTTCTCTGAACCTTTTCCAGAAGCTCACTGTCTTTTAAGTAAGGGCTAGTCGCTTGTATGCAGTACTCAAGTTTAGGACGAACGAACACTGTATACAAAGTCAAAAACGTCTTAGCGTCGACATGACTAAAAGCCCTACGTATTGACCATAACGATCTAAAACTTTTGGCGACTATTGCACGGCAGTGTGCAGTAGTCTTTAATTCTTGACTAACGATAACGCCTAAGTCATTATATGTCTGGACGACAGGTAGCTCAGTGTTATTCATCGTGTATGTATCTGTGCCTTGATGGTCGATATGCATCACAACACACTTGGAAGTATTTATCGGCAACTGCTATGTTTGAGACCATTCAGATAACTTCTTCAGGTCATTTTGAAGTTCTAAGCTATCACTCTTACATCGTATCGTTCTCCATATCTTGACGTCAGCATATAGCAAGACCGATGATAATAGGAGACAAGGAAGGTCATTTACATGCAAGAGGAATAGCACTGGCCCCAAAACTGTACCCTGGGGCACTCCACTAAGCACAGTTTCCCAGTTATATAACTTTGAGTTCACCCGAACTCTTTGTTGACGCCCAACTAAGAAGTCTTTTATCCACATCAATAAATTGCCTCCGATCCCGACTTTCCTTAACTTACATAACAGCCGGTTGGGCGGATCTATGTCAAAAGCTTTACTGAAGTAGGCTGTGCGCGCTCTACGTGTATAGTGGGAGGCTGCCATTGTTTCCTTGTGAACTGGTTCGTAGGAGCGGGAATGCGGTCGCAGTTTGTCAATTTCGGGCGATTCTCAGTCATATCTTTGGCCTTAGCATAGTTTGGGAAAAGCCCAATCCCCAAAGTGTTTTGTAAGACTAGAGAAAACGTAGACATTAGGGATTTGTAACAGCGGTTCATGGCCTATCTTCAAGATCCTTAGGCAGGTTTAGTGTTTATCTGTAGTATGAAGAGAGTTCGAACCCACCTACTTCAACACACCGTGACGATTTATGTGTGTATTGTTTCCCTTCCAACGTCTACTGCGACATCCAGAGAACGATGAAGATAGTTCCAATTCATTTCTTCTGACTGTTCCACCGATATTTCTACAGCTATGTACCATATTATTACACAGTGCTCATACAAAGAATAATGGTTACTCATACTTAAAAAAATGTTAGCATCCTGTCTTTACGAACAGACTTTCCGGTTTTTTTAATTAGGAAACACCACTCCATATAAACGAAATCTGTGTAAAGTATGTTCATGCTAATAATGTATTTAGTTAAAAATGGTGATTAGCATGGCATGGAGCTGTCATAAAAAAATCAACTAATGAGTACAATTTGTGGAGAGAAGATATTGATTATCCAAAAGTGGGGATGTAATGAAAGTAAAGGCAGGTAAAATAAACATAATCTCATGGTAACAAATTCCCCGTTTAGTTAGCGAGCTTTAAGGTTACATTGTATAACAAAATTTGGACAGTAAATGGATTCAGAATAGTAAAAGTGGGAGGTGCATGTTTGTGGATACTTTTCAAAATAAGTTAATCTGATCTTAGTTAAGCTTGTTGGATACTTAAAGTTTCAAATACTTTGCATTCGAGGGCGTGGATGGTGCTTCTGGGTAGACGTTCGCTATGCAAGATGGATTCTACTTTATCAAAGTTCAACGTACAGGCAACATCTTCACTAGCAACAACCATCATTCCGGCGAGTTCGGCAACAGCGACATAAAAACTGGGTTCTGAATCAAATGTAGATAGGTTCTTTACTTCAAAAACTGAGCAACGTGGCCAGACAACAACACGTACACAGCCAGTAGATTTAGAACGTGCTACAAATACATTGTGAGCAATTTGTAGATGTTGACAAGATGAGATTACGATCCATAAATAGCTAGAATAAAACGCATTTCAGAAAGATATCAATACAATTACGGTTGCTTGTAAAATTCATATACAGGTTACCACTAAGTAGCATTCCATAGAGCACACGATACCTGCCTAATCAACGTCCTGGTTGGAGCTCAGTGCCTGGGAATTCAGTCGACGAGAACGTCATTTCTACCAATATGTTTATGATGAAGTTGAACGAAAATGGAGATAGTGGACAGCCTGGACGGACAGCACTCGAGGTTGCAAATTCAGATGACAGTTCGCCATAAGCTCTGACTCGACTCGTAGTGTTCGAGTAAAGAGCCTCCACAATGTTTATATACTTCTGTGGTATACCTTTCAATGACAGACTGCCACAGAATCTCTCGGTCGACAGAGTCAAATTGCTTATTTTAAGTCAAGAAGGACTACCATTGTCGGACGCCGTCACACATACCTATGTTCTAGACCTGACCAATGGTCAATATATGTGGTCGATACAGCCACGACCGGGTCTGAAGCTGATCAGGTAGTTTCCGAATTCGATGCGTTAAAATAACAAACTAATTGTCGATGAATACTGATATTTGGAAAAGTGAGGTATACGTCATATCTACTTCTCATAATTCACAAATACATCAAATGCCATGGAACCAGATTCACGCAATAATTTTAATTAAAATTCTATGGAGTTGTAGTTGCTGCAATACGGGAGTACTGCCAACTCAGTAAAATACTCACCGTATATGAACTATCAACAAAACATTCAGTATTTACGTCAATGATGTAATGTCAGACCCAAGGAAAACCACGATAGCTGCTCAAAAATCCGACTATTCCTAATTGAAAATTATGACGTGCGACCACGGATAATATTTTAGCTTTAAAGTACCAAATAATAAGTTTTGGCACATTCAGTTAAACGGTAGATGTACGTCTTTGGGATATTTAAAATTATCGAGATGAATGTTAAGATTTTAATTTAAACAAACAATATATCATTTCGATTAGCAATATGCCAGATTATCTAAGTTGTTTTTTAAGCCTGTAGTGTGTGCGTTTTTCATTTACATGAATGTCCTCATTAATTCTAACCAACTTTGTTGTTTGTACACTCAAAATAATATATCAGAATGGGTCATATGTTGCCCAATACTTTACATTCTACTAGACTTCAGCAAAATAAATTTGTTCATGAACATCGAGGTAAAACAAATGAATATGTTCCTCTTGCATTTTAACAATAATAAGCAATTCAAGTAAACAAAATACAGTTGCGCCGTTCATTTGCACAGCAATTAAAGCGACTAGCAAATTGTAGACGACCTTATCTAATTAACTATCTCTATTGACAGTTACAACAACTGCAGCGTCTTCATTGAAATATGTGAATAGTTATCAACGGATTAAAAATACTACATAACGATCATTCCCAACCCAATACAGTTATACAAAGAGGGTAAAATGGTTTAATAAGTCACTTCTCTAAAGCATCGCTTCACTCTAAAGGGTATATTTATTAAGCAGCAGTAATGCAAAGTTATATGAAATGAGATAACGTTCAAGATTACAGACAAGAACTTGTGTATTATTCACAGTGGAACTAGAGTTAGTGACCGATTTTTGTGTGAAATAATAGTTGCATCTACACAGACAAAAATAAGTTGAATATCAAGAGACAGATATAAACAGTCTCATACTGACATATGCTTACATTCCCATTAAGTTTGGACTAATAATTAAATAGAGAAATTAGTCGATAATTTAGTTTTCTGCAAGATTCAGGTAACTGCCTTGCATTTAATGTGAATTCCTAAAAGTACACATGATTATCTATATAACACCTACAACTAATTAAAATATACTTAAATTTGTTTTATCAATATGTCCTTTATCAGGTTGAATTAATTAAGGATAAAAACATATAACGTCAAAGTTGATTCCGTAAATGATGATCAAATTAAAAAAAAAACAGAAAAAAAGAACTAACTTTACAAACCGATCCAATTCTGTTAAATCGGTTAATTCAAGAACAAAATTATCTACAGGATGATTAACCAGTTCATAGTAAAGTGAATTTTCATATTTCAATTTAATATCCTAGACATAAAGAAAAGTATGCTTTACTTGTTTTCAAGACAAGTTTATTTTTAAGAAGAAAAAAAAAACGCACCATAATTTATAAAATAACAAAGAAAAGTGACTACGTATTTTTTAAAACCTAAATCAAAGAGAAATAAGCCATTCAAATTGTGAAATATTAAAACAAAACAGTTGTTTATCCTATATTGCTTGTTGAAAACAGCGATGGGACTCAGCATTAATGAATTTCATAGTCCATACAGTCCAATCTGTTACCTATCCCATTTTCTCGTTTAACTGAATATAGAAATCATTATATGTGAAAATTATATTTGAAATAATCTCAGCGATTGAAATGCAAATGATTCCGACGTTTCGTCCAGACAAGTTAGCTGGACGAAACATCGGGATCATTTACATTTCAATCGCTGAGATTATTTCAAATATAATTTTCACATATAATTACTTCTCTATACTCAGCGCCCGATTTCTGTCAAACTATTCGTTCTAATCTTGACGAATATTCGTATGAATATAGAAATCATTGAATATTCTCATCGAGACATAAAAAGACAAAAGAAACAGCCAAATGTTTGGCCCACAGCGCCAAAACTATTTGTTCTGATGACATTCCTGAAGAGAAGCTACAACTTATTCAGGACTTACTACGTAGGCACGCAAACCCACTAAGGTTCTTAATGCAACATATTTCTGCAAATAAACCTAAAATGAAATCGTCGATGGTACCAAAAAAGCCTATATTCTTGAAGTTACAGTTCAAAGGTGATATATTCAGCGTGATATTAACTCGATGTATGTAAAAAGCCTTATAACGTACATCCAACGCGGCATGATTATGTCCTACTTTCCTCAGCCGGCCAATAGTGATTTAACGAAATAAGGTTGAATTTCCTCGTCCCTATGCTTCTATGTATATTTACAATTTCAACTGCTCCTACGGAGCCTGTTATATTGGGCGCACAACTAGACAAATATATTGTATTTCTGAGCACCACCTTTAACGGCTGACCAAAAGATAAATGAAAGTTATAAGACGCTCTATCTTGGTGCATCTGGTCGATACCGGTCATCACATAGATAAAACTTCAGCGTTTAGAGTTACTTATAAAATCTCACCGAATTTACCCTATGGTTCCAAAACCCGACTCTTACATATAGCAGAAGCCACGGGAATACACATAAAAAACCTAACCTTTATATACAGAAGTGTATACAATCTTTGAATCTACCTTGGCCTTCTACTTATATACCATCACATGTTTCAAAACCTTTTCTCTCCATATCTTAAAAAGTTTCCGAGCTTCGATTTTTTTAACATGTAAAATTCCAATTCTACTATTGCGTAACCTATTTATGAATCATATCTAATTTTAACTGCACCCGTCCTACCAATAACTTATCATCAATTTCACAAATAAAAAAACCTATATTTACATCTAATTTTAATTGCGTAACTATTTGTAATAATTAACTCATTGTGAAAATTCGCTTTGTTTTAAACCTTATGTAACTAACTGATTATATCTTGTTAATCTGACTCACCACCATCTGATTGGTACCGATGTTTTACTCAGTTGTAAAAAAAATGTTATTGTGGAGCCTTGATAAAGAACTAATTGAATTTATAATGTTAACTAGAGTAGAATTAAATTGTATGAACGGTCGAGTTAACTAAATCAAATCAAGGCGGGATATGCTAAATCACTGACTGATAGTCTAAGTTGTGTGGTAAGTTTTTAGCTTCATGGATGTGTTGAGACCAACAGAGGGGTGCCAAAATAGGTACGACTTGCTTACGAGTGTCAACCAACAAGGAAACTAGGTAAAAGGTTTCTTATCTAATAACTTTGACTACGCAACATCTTAACACATATACCATAGAAGTTTACTGAAGCTGTCTTTTCAAGAAGGATAATTTAATCATGATTCACAAACTCATGTGACTGCCTAAGAAGACTTCTTCTCAACTTTGAGCTACTCAACCAATTTTTGATATGTGTGTATCCGTGTTAGGTACGTTTTAAAAAAGTCATGCGTCACTTTGAAAACGACTTGTCAACATAACGAAAGTAATCCAACAGTCGAACACTACCAAGTTTTACTTCCAATTCTAAAATTTTCACTTTAGTTCAGATGCATCTAAAACATGTTGGCTACTAATGAAAGTGACTGATTATGCTATTTTAGATAGTCTTAGTTGACATGAATTCGTTTAGATAATAAAATTGATTTAAAAAGTTTTTTAGAAAAATACTCTTAGTTTAAGTTAGTATTTACTGTAAATCCCATTTTAAAAGTTAGTAGTTTGAACATCGATAAAATATACTGAATGTTAAGTGCTAACAAATCAGACTACATTAATCATATCATTATAGTATCTCTTTCATTAAAAACCGAAAAATATTATGCATGGATAACTCTATGTGACTTGAGGGACAACTAAACACGTCGTTTCTTTAATCAAGTAAAATTGACAGTCCGCAAATCATTTTTACAATCAAGCATGACACAGTAAGAATCTAAGTTAACATACGGAGTATGGAAATGTAGTGGTCAATGTTTACACTAGGGGAAAAAGTTATTTCATGCTTAGTTTACTTGACCACAAAATATCGATTTACTTACTGTGGACATAGCTCGTAAGTATTCTGGTGATTGCCATAAGTGGAGATGTAAGTGGTTTACAGAAGCATGAGCCAACAGACTATTGAAGCCCATACACAAATATCTGAAAATTAAGAATCTTAATTAAATTAGCTGAATTACTAGTCCTATCGCTTTAGAATATACATACTGCAAGTACGAACTAACAGCTCGTTACAATGAATTTTAGTGAGAACAAACTAAGGTTATACACAAATACTCTTTCGGAAGTGGGGTAATTTTTTCCTGTTTAGTTCGTTCCTTAAGTGCGGAAACTTGAACTGACATATTATTATATCTCTGTTGCACGATTATACAACCTGCGAAATATATAAGTAAAGTTTCGTCTGAAGCCAAAGTTTTAAACTGCCATATCACACGGATTGTAGAGAAGGAAACTAATTTCCGAAAACAGAATTAGTAAGGCACTACATTTAGTGGCTACTTCATACTGAGGGCTTAATTTGAACCATTAGGTGATAGATTTTGAACTCGTTTCACAGATTTCGGTTTGGGCAGCTTGGCAGTCTCCAAAAATAAAGTGGTTTAAAGCCAACAAAACAAACACATACTTTGTTGGTGAGTTGTATAAAAAATTAAAACTGCATATGGGAATTTGTGCCCACAAGCATGGCATATTTGTATAACTGAATTGTGAAATGTCGGCGAGTACAAGAATATATTACGCCATTTAGGACTACACGTTTCGTGGGTTTGTAATATAAAATGAGTGGATTGGGATTCAAACGTTGACCTATTTTTCGCAAATTGAGTGTTTTAATCTATAAGCAACTGATCAACTGCTAAACGGTGGAAAATACTCGAAAAGCCTAGGTTTTCTGACAGTTGTTATTATCATAAGGAGTGTAAAAAACAAGATGAGATGGATAAAACGAAACAGAATAAACTGAATAGCACTGAACTCATGTGACAGAGAAATAAAGAATGGGTGCACATCTGAATAGGGATTGTTTAGGCATACGTTTCACACATTCCGACTAAGTAAGTTGAGGAATGTTTATAGCTTGATCAATCGACTTAACATTTTTACTTAGAACACTGTTTAACCTTAGGATTACTTACTTAGTGGTCTAAATAAACGCGAGTAGCTTTGAGGATGGCTACACTCGATTACATGCAATGTACGAATGTCTTCTAATTTATTAAGCTTTGCACCAGTATTAAAGCATTACAAAATACACGAATATGAAGTGTAAATATGGTCCGATGTGGTGGATGGAAGAGAATTAAGGGCGGCCAAACCAAAACGTGGCATCAGTGCTTGAAGACACTAACCTCTAGTCTGAGCCATGTTGGTAGATGCAGACTACTTGGTTGGGGTCCGCGTGACTTTCGTAACCGATGGTTGGAGACTCTTGGTGACATGACTCAGAATCGATCACAATGGCGTCGGTGCATACACTTCCTGTCTTCCCTTAAACTAAGAGATTAAAATCGCTTCATATCTTTCTACGGACTAATTCTATATTCCGGTACTGTATCCTTATATGCAATCTTTCTCCTATATATTACCACTCTCATGAATCCGGTGTTCATCTTGCTGTGCTAACGAGGTATGGCAACCTGGACCGATGCATATATGTGCCTGGTCCTACGTTGTAGCTGACTGACTGACTGTGGTGAAAATTAACTAGCCTTCCTGTATCCGTGTTGAAATTTTATGAAGCAATAACACAACAGTGATTATGAGGCTTCCAAATCAACTGAAATGGTAAGCCTACTTAATAAATTCACTCCCGGTGGTTAGGTCATGGACTGATGCACGCTAGTTTAGATGTAAAGTTTCGCATTTAGAGAGGCAGAGAAATTGATTAAATTCTTGTGTTGATATTAAAGGTATTCGTAAAACTGCAAGTTATCTCTACTCTCAGTCAATAATTAGGGGATCAATTCCTAAAATGCGCGGCATTGTTAACTTTGAAGAACTATCTATGACATAGTCAAATAACAGTGATGGATAGCCCTGAAAAACAACACTTGAGACAGTCAATTAGTTAATTTATGTACTTTTCTGCATGAGGTTATTCGTTTCCTATGACTTTAAAGTAACCATAATATTTAAAAAAACTGGGGAAAAATTCACCCTAGGCTAACACGAAAGTCTGGAAGTCCCAACAATAGAAATATGATAATATTATTTTCAACAATATAGCTCAGATAGCTTTTACAAACAATTTGACTTAAGTAGTGAAAGAAAGAATGTAAAACTAACCTGTTGCTACTCAGAAGAAAACACTTGATTACTGAGTAAAAGGAGTCTTTTCCAAGAAACTGAAATCGTTAAAAAAATATGCATTCATACCTGATTGTGGCATTTTTCTACTTCCGGAACCAAAAGAGAATGTAAATATGAAAATGGACTGACATTTATCAGTATAGAACATGATTTCTAAACATTAGAAAAGCAGTATGCTTACTGTGCTATGCTTTTCAGAAACATTTAACAAGAATTCATGTTTTGGGACTTTATTAAAATTGAAGGATTCGGACGAAAGTTGATCATTAATGGTTTTAAATAGTTGTGGTTTACGCCGATGGCTGAATCGATTATTGTTAGGCTAGAGTTACGTCTTTAACAGACTTTACTTACTAAAATCAAAATATTTACATTTCCAGAACAAATTTTCTTTGCTGAACTCAATGATGTATCAATTTTGTAATGAAAGTAATTGGATTCATAAGCGAGAGTCCATACGGAATTCAAAGTTTTATCGAACTACAGGAAAAGAGGACTTAAAATATTGTTACCTTTGAAGAGGTATTAGTTGACCGTAATATAAGGTCTCCATTTGTATACTCAAAGTTCATGCAGTGGAAGATTTCAATATACGGAAGAAGGTTCTGAAAAATTAAAACTGATAACAAGTATGAATAATCATGAGCTTATAAAAACAGAAACATAAGATAAAAATAACAGTAACATTTAAATGAATTAACTGATTGATGTTACTGCATTTTTTACAGGACGTAAAGAAATTCTTCAAGAAACCTTTGACAAAATAATATTCTAAACACTAATTACTCCATCAAACGCAAGTATGTATCATTTAATAAGGCATATGTAGCAAAAGAGTTATGCGGACAATTCTACCGGTTAATAAATAGAATCAAGTATATTATAACAGTAAGTTATAATAAACGTAGAGCCTAGAATCTGACCCGCTATACACCTAATGACATCGAAGTAGAAATTTGTTTTACAACAATCAGCTTTATCCTGTTATACCAATTATATGTGACTGATTACGATAGGTAGGTATGCGAGTAATATTGGGTTGACTTAGGTATATTGTTGATAATGTGAAAAACGTGGTGTCAGTTCGTGAAGTCACTAACTTCTGGTCTGAATCATGTTGGTAGATGCAGACTACTTGGTTAGGGTCCGCGTGACTATTGTAACCAATGGTCGGAGACTCTGGGTGACATGGCTCCGAATCGATCACAATGGCATCGTTGTATACACTCTGTCTTCCCTTAAACTGTGAGGCTATAATTGATTTGTATCTTTCTTTTTATCAATTAATTCTTTCTTTCTGTACAATATCCTTATACACAATCTTTCTTTCATATATTACTACAACTGAATCAACTACTATGAATTCGGTGTTCATCTTGTTGTGCTGATGAGGTGTGGCGACTTAGACAGATGCATAAATGTGCCTGACTGACTGATGTAATTGCGAATACTTATTGTTAAGTCGATCTTAAGTAATTTGAGATATCATCAGTGTCTAATAAGGCGCTAAACTATGCTTCTACTCCCACGGATATGAGTGTGACAAAATACGTCCGACAAAAATATGTTTGAAACTACATTTAGCTAACAATGTTCACATATGCCATCAATAGAAAACCCGGTCTCATGATTAATCGTCGACGAAATAGTTGTGAGCAACATTTACACAACGAACGACTTCCATAAAAACAGAACTAAGCTAAAATAACAGTAGCTGAATTCGAAATCGAAAATTAAGACATTAAAGCTATAGAGTACAAAGTTTCGCACTAACCAATCGAATCTCGACAAGCGCAGCAAGAGTGAAAACAAACACAGTCTCGCACCACACAATGCACATAGTGTGAAATCGCAGTGAGGTTAAAAGTAAAGGACAAAGAGAGATGAATAGATCAGATATATGTGGTCTGTAAGTTTATTCAGTGAGACTATAATTTACAGATGACCTTTGAGCAACGATAAAATGACTGCGAATGCCCACTTACATAATAGGGTTAAATGAGAGTTATAAATTAGTGAGGACTCAGGACTAGTAATTACGGCTGGACGTTAGTGCTAGAAACAAGATTTAATGTTTTCATCACGAACTGGCACCACCCATAATGCTAAAATGCTATTTAGCCAAATGTGTGGCGCATATATATTGGCGCTCTCTTGTACCAATATTTATGTGTTCAAATAAATAAATAAATAAATTTAGCCAAATGAATTTGGCGCAAAAACCTAAAGTCCGTTAAATCTGATCGGTTCATCCACAAGTTATATTCTCGGCAAAATGCGACTAGAAACCCGGAACTTCCGATATACTTAGAGGGAATTCTTAAAAAATTTGGGGTTTTTGTCAGTATTTCCACCTATTTTGGGGAAATCCATTGAAGCTGATTCACAAAGCTCCAGAGTTTTTGCTGTGCGTCGATGATTATAATTATACATATTTTTTATATTGGTTGGCTCTTAGTCTCCACAAACAATCATGCGTGGTCATTCGGAATTAAGATCTGGACATGTGTTGGCCTCATATACATTGCATTTGGACCCAGGCTTTATTATTCGCTGACCGACCGCATCTAGCGCCACGTTACTGTTTAATGGGAATGCATAAATTGGGCACGGTTCCCACGAATAATCTTTGAAATTTCGTTATGAAGTTCTTCCAGTTTTGACGTATCAACCAGATGAAACATTGCAATTACGTCACCAGTTCTGAAAGTTACAGGTTGAGCACACTCTTATGTATTCGGGGAAACCTAGTGGTTTTCCCCAAACTTAATTACTACGTTTACGTGCGAAACAACAGGCGACTACTTTTTGTACTACGTGAAGCTTGCATAGTTGACTGCGAATAATTATTATTCGCAGTCCATTATGCAAGCTTCACCGTATATAATTATATACGGAGAAAATTCCAGAAATTTCCCTGAAAAATTGGGGAAAATCTGGGGTTTTCCTTAAAATAATCAAAAAATTGAAGATACATCAAATAAATCCAGTGGATTTCTTCAAAGTTGGTGGGCATTCTGGATAAATATTCACCCAGAATGGAACATATATTCCACAAATAAGTGGAGATTTGGATAATTTAACAGAAGGTTAAGCTATATTCAGAAGCTATTTCTCGTGATTTAATTGAAATGTGAGACAAGCATACCCAAATCACATGGGAGTTACGTACTCAAAGTACACTTGAAGGGTGGATATATATCTTGTGAAGAGGAAAAAGTACCTGTCGACCTTGAGTTTGAAAAAGCACAAGGCTATTTCAGAATGAGCCAGTCTTCAGTAATAAGGATTGTAGGTTCGTGAACCTGTGTTAATCCTAACATATTGCCTTCCAGTGAAGGTCCAGTTTCTCCTTTAAAATATTGATTGATGGGACTGATACCACTTGTTCGGGTATGGCGTTCCGACCATTGGCTACTCGATGAGAAAACAGAACCCCACTTTAAGTTTATTGGACCACAGTTTGTGAACCTTCCTTCTATGACTTCAGATATTGTTAATACTGGAGTGGGTAAAACGATGGGACATATTAACGCCCTAATCATAATTAAAGATACGAAGTGTTAATACAAGGTCACCTCGCGTCCCACGACAAGAAGTAAAGATTCAGATGTTTTAGACGCTCATCATAAGGGAGTTTGGGAAGGTCCTCCAGTAATTTTGTTGCCACATGCTGAACATGCTCAAGTAAGTCAGCACCCTACATCAGACATGGGCCAGCTGCTTGGATACAGTACTCTAAGTGTGGTGTTACATAGGTGGGATATAAAATACGAAACTTCTCGTCAAAGCATTTGACTGCTCGATGAAGTGACCGTAACGCGTGAAACCCTTCTGGCAGCTACTGCGAAATAATGCGTACTTGTTTACAAGTCGTGACATATTATTACCCCTAAGATGTACAATCAATAGTACAATGGTAAATGTAGGGCCAGCGAAATGTCACGAAGCCCTAGCCAACTCATCCAGCAGATGGGTCCTTGAATATTGAGAAAATCATCAATCTTCGTCAAGGTGGGAGACAAGCAACGTGCATCAGTTAATCGTTTGTCATGGACTGGCCCGTGCGACAGTGGTCTTACTTTTGCTTGTATCTACTTTAACTAATATATTTCTTTAAAACAATTAGTCCCTTTGATAAATTTCGTTAATGATATAAGAAGACGAAGATTATCAGAACTATGTGATATATTAGCGCAATACATTTCGAACAATCTGGTCACACATATACTTGTTAAGAGCATTTATATATAAAAAATAAAAGGTCAACTAGAGAGGAAACGGCATAAGAGGAGATAAGGATAATGATAAAAGTAATAATAATAATAATAATAATAATAATAATGTGAACACAATTTGAAGCCTAATCACTCTGGATAATAAGTCAATATTACCAGGGTAGGTTTAAGGTAAGAACAAACTGTTTTTGAACACACAAAAGGGGTCTGAATTTTCGTATGGCTAAGGCTTCAATAAACCTTAGTATACGCCCTTTTACACTTTTATACAGCATTACAAAAGCTGAATTTAGATCAATCTTGTGACCTGTTTCAATTATATGTTTAGCAATAGAGGATGATGGATGTTTATCCTCTGCTCTTATTGGATCACTCGATTGTATTTGTTTCTGAAGCCATTTGGGTACATGTTCACTCACCCTAATGTTGAGATCACGATTACTCCTCCCTATGTATGTGTGACCACACACACATTTAAATTGGTAAACACAGTGGGATGTGACGCAATAGTTTTCATGTACATTAGGTTTTGAATGAAGCATACACTTTGTTCTTTCTTTGATGATGACCTTGGCTGCGCAATAGGTTTTATTGATGACTGATTTAAGTCGTTTTTTCAATAAAAGGCTATTTGAATCACCTCTTAAAAGAAGACTCCCTGCACATACTATCAAATGGTTAGATGAACTTGTCAACCTTAAATGTAAAATTGTATCCGAACGCGTGAAACTGAACTTCTATAAATCTTGTTTGTCGAATCACATATTCCCAAATCAACTATACAAGAATTTACGTTCAAGTAAATTACAACCAAATATTTCAAATCTTATTCGATTGTCGAAATCATATATAGATAAGTGCCAAGACAAACTGATCAATTTAATTGAATTACACAATCAAGCATTGCCTATATTAAATGAAATATCAATAGTCTGCCATATTAAATTCACCAACTTTTGCAGTAATGTCATTTCGAAAACAAAGGAAAGGATCAGTAAAAAGCTCGAAAAATCTTATATTATTACTAATCAAGTTAATTTATTCCCAGTAAATCCTGAAAAGTATGTCACTAATCTATCTTTCATTGTATTATCTGCTAATGAAAAGGAAGCGCTTTCTTTTAGTTTTAATTTCTCGGTCCCTATAAAGCAAATGTCAGAATTGGAAATAAATGCTCAATTTCAAAATCTAATTGATCAACTGAGTACTCTTACCCCTACGTCTTTAAATAATCAAAGCTGGTGTAGAGCTAAATAAGTGGATATAGCACACCAATTTCATATTGTTGGCCCGAAGCAGAGATGCATATTAACTTCTCAGCATTTTAAATCATTAAAAGAACTACGATCAAACTCGGATATTGTCTTGTTAAAGCCTGATAAAGGATCAGGCGTAGTTATCATGGTTAAATGTGAATATAAAAGTAAGATGTTATCCATCCTTATTGATGAAAGTAAATTTATACCTGATGTTGAATTTGGAGGCATTAGCAAACTAGAAGGAAGAGTAAGTTCAAACCTAGAAAAATTGCTACTCATGAATATTATTAATAAAGAGGAATTTAACTTTCTAAAACCTATGGGTTCCGAGTACCTTCATTTATATGGACTACCTAAAATTCACAAAACTAATGTCCCCTTACGTTCAATTCTATCAATGTGCAGATCACCTACACAGAATCTGGCTAAATGGTTAGAAAAGTTGTTGGATCCTATTCGAAGACATCTATGTAAGTACTCTCTAAAGGATTCTTTTGAACTGGTTGATCATTTAGGTGATATTAATATCAAGGAAAAGACAATATGTTCATTTGATGTAAATTCCTTGTTTTCAAATGTACCTTTAAAAATCCATTGATATATTACATATCTGAGAACAATTTTCAATCACGAGTACCTGTAAAACTTCTTAAAGATTTACTATTACTGTATACTGACAAAGTTCAGTTCACTTTTGAAGGTGAATACTTTCGTCAGATTGATGGAGTTGCTATGGGTAGTCCACAAACCCCTTCTGATAATAATCATCTGCTCACTTGTGATTGACTTCGAGAGATACTCCTGGAGTTCTAGTGGGAAGCCGTTACCAGTGGAGTTCAACCAGGTCTGTTGTGAGGTATCAGCTCACTGAAGACAATGATATATGGTGGCGCAACTTCGTAAATTGGTTGAAGTTAGACATTAACACCATTGGATCCGGCTCAGTGGTCTAATTGTTAAGTGCTCGCGCGCGAAGCCAGTAGGTCCTGGGTTCGAATCCCGCGTGGTGCGAGATCGTGGATGCGCATAATATGTTTCTGTATTAACGTCATCTGTGTTGTATAGTTGTCAAAGCATCTATGGTACCTTAATACGTCAATGAGGTAGTCCACGTAAAGTGCTGATCACGAGGTGTGACTTCGACGTTAGCTAGTTTGTCACATCACTCACGTCTAACTCGAGTAGGCCTCCAATCATTTCGACATGGATCATCTACGTTGGTGATCTACATAACTATTACTGTGTCCGATGTGCATGAGCACACTCTTCCTAGGATTAATTTCTAAGCCCCAACCTCGGGCCCATCTGACTAATTCTTCTAGATCAGCCTAAAGATCGAAATGATTAGCCTTGCTTTTCATTGTTCTCCAGATTTCGACATCATCCTCAAACAATAATGTCGACGACTTAAGCAATAGCGGTAATTCCATGACGTAGAGAATAAAAAGTAGGGGACCCAAGATGTTGCTTTGGGGCACATTACTTTTTGACCGGCTTCCATTTGGATAGCGTGCCCTCGACCCTCACTCTCTGGTTGGATATTTATAGTTGAATCACGAGTTTTGTGTGCATAGGTCTCATGTCCAACCCATTTACCGTGTCCTATTACTTACGTGATATGCACCCCTCAAACCTCTCCAGGCAGTACACTTCTAACTACAGATTCCACTAACTGCGGATCGTGTGTATGCCTTTTAGTAGGGTCATTGTCGTTCGACACATCCAGATTCTAAATAACCAAGCAGAGAAGGGTTTAACTTCTTTGAAATTCGTGTTCACGGCTTTCGATCGTGATGTCAGATCCTGCATATTGACTGCTGATATTTTACCGTCAGTTTCCTTTGTAAGAGTCATAGGAGTCGAGCGAATGACTTACAACAATGTTTTATGAATTCTTACTTTGGGACTTTGTCGGAGTAGTTTTGGCTATCGTTTCCACTCCCCTACGTTTCCGCGTCATCCATTTTCCATCAGTCACAACATCTACATTGGAACTACTCGGGACGGTAATGGTTTTATCGTGATCGTCAGTCGCCGCTATAGTAACTTGGCCACAAATATCTAATGGCGTGCCGCTGATTAGTTGCTTCAGGTTAGAAAGCTCAATTGCTTGTTGCACGTTTGGGTGTCCGAAAGGTGTCGTGACAGCAGTTACGACACTGACACAAAAGCCAATAAGTTCATAGCCCCTTGGATTAGTAACGTCTTATTTTTACAGCATAACATAAAAGGCCGATGAGAGTTAGGCTTCTATCATCTTTTGTATGGGGTGGGACTTAAATGGGTACACATCTTATGAAACCACTTTTGTGCACATCACACAGCATTCTTTCCTCAACAGAGAACAAATAGTTTGTTTGTCTACATTTATAAGTACAACCAACCATTGTAGTCAGATTGAGAATGTTTAAAACACAATATGATCATAATGTGAACACAAGTGTATGTCAATGAGAAAGAATGTACCACAAGACAAAGTTTACCAAGATTTCAAGCCTTAAGCGAAATACTTCAGTTAAAGTGAACCAAGAATGCTTTTGACGCAACAAGTACACAAAAGCAAATAATCAGTTCATTCAAACACCACATCCGCCACAACTTAAATGAGAATCTAAATTTCTGCAATCATTTGTACCTCTTCTCCTTAAGTTCATCGTGTCTGTTCGACCGTGTATTAAATGTAGACTCTGTGTGATCTAGAATATGCTCATTAGTATTAAAATTAACAACCAAAATTGGAACTGACTCACCTGGGCCA